CACTTAGTCTCCTCCATTTGTGATTATCTGATAGTTAGTCTCCACTTTCTTTTGTTCCTTTTTCTCTTTATGGTCAAGTCTCTCTTTTTAATAGCCACTGCTCAAAATGAACAGTTAAATTTATAAATGGGGATCAAGGGAGAAAGAAATCCTAGATATAATCATCAGAGTTTGCTTCTTTTTAACTTTTCAGGCTTGGTGCATAGTTTCCTTCTGTTTTTCTTTCTTTTTTTTTGGGGAACAATCCTTAGTGATGGCTCGGATTCAAATCAAATCCAGAATTACAGACTAGGCCTAATTCGAAGGTTCAGTTCAAAAATATAGACTAGACCCACCTTAAGTATGCAGACCAAGCCCATCACAATAGAGAGGAAGCTAGGTTAGGTCAGTCGTGACATCTTGAGAGAGTTAAGTCAACCGCGAAAGACTCAGTCAACAACTGACATGTGAGGAAATCTCCTTGGAACTGACATGTCACCACCTCTATAGAATTTCTTCGTCTGTTACGAAAAGGGTACCACCTCTACAAAACTATTTCACCTGATACGATAAATTGTAAGTCTCACCTATACAAATGGCGTCTTTCACATCTGAGCAATCTACACCCCTTGAACAATACAATACTCAAGTCTATCTACCTCTTCACAGAGTAGGTCACCTTGATCGAATCACTTAAAACTGCGTTTTACTTGTGTTGACTTTTTATTATTTATTACTTTATTTAATATTTGACAGGTGCTCTATAAATACTTTTATACTTCATCACTTACTATGCTATAAATCGCAGTGTAGCATTTTCTATAACCACTCTTTTATATAGTATATAACTTAAAATACAAAACTTATAACTAAAAAAAATTTACATGTAACACACGTGTACACACCAATTAATATAAACAAATATGTCAAAAAAAAAAACATATATCAAACGAACAATAAAGGAAACGACAAAAATGATTACAATATAGTGTAACCATTATATTTCTACATGACCTGCTGAGTTTTTTTTTTTTTCCCCACTTGATTGTGGTGTCTTGACAGGAAAATAATAATAATTAATTTTAGTTCGAACTCAGTTGCCGCTAAACAGAATTTATACCCCAATAATATTTTAATATATTGCATAAGGAATATTTGTCTATGATCTCTTAAAAAATAAAAAAAACAACCTTATCCTACTTGTCTGTTAGTTAATGGAGATATCATTAAAAGGATTGCGTAGGTTGTCATATAAATATCACATAATTGGGCAAATATAAAATCAATGAATGGCCATTTTTTGGTTAATGGGATTATTATATTATATTATATTATATTTATTATATAGGTGTGGTGGTGTGGGGTCATCCAATGAGTCACTTAGACAATGAATAACCGTGTTGAAAATTGATTAATATAAGCTATGCCATGGGTTTATCCGTTGAATAATTTTTAGGTGCTTTCTACACGCCTCCATCACATTACAATGGTGGCATGTCGCAAAGAGTAGTGTAGGGGTCTTTATCATGTTTGAAAATATTTCCATTTCGTACGCACGCGAGAAAATAATTAATAAAATAATAATTATACCACCATAATATTATTAAGTAATATTACCGTTTAATAATAAGTCAATAAATGAATAAGTCAATTTTATAAGTTCAATAACTATCTCATTCATGTTAGATAATAATTAGCTCAATGAAAAATAATGAGGTGTATCTTATCTGTCTGATAATGTTTTTGTTGAATGCTGACAAAGATAACACGGTATCATTATTATCTTGAAATTTGAATATTTACTTACACACACTCACATAGGGAAATTAATTTATTTTTTTTGTTTTTAAACCATTTATAGCAATAAAATAAATTCATAAAACATGTAATTATCCTCCTATTATGTGCTAGTGCATAGGATATTTCCTAAAATAAAAAAGAGGATATTACAAATGTTTAGTGGTGTCTATAGGCTAGGTCAGGCCAGGTTAGGCCCATGAATTTTTTTTTTCGGGCTAGGATTGGATAGGGTAGGCCTAAGCTTTTACTCGGATAAGTTATCGAACAGATGAGACGGGCTTTAGATAGGGGTAGGATACCTGCAACCCAAATCATCACTCACTAGGCAGGTCTTGCGGCATATATTCTTTTAAAAAGTTTTCAAGTTAATATTTTGTAAATTATATTTTTGAATTAAAAGTATTGTCAAATTGGATAAAAAGTAAATAATAAATAATTTTATTTTTGATGAATTATTTAGTATTTAAGTAAATAATGAATAATACCTTAAATTATTCAATTTATTATTTAAGTAAATAACTTTTTTTAGAGGGATATGTCACATAACTTTCAATGATCAAGTTTTTTTTTTCAAACAAAATGGGTGGACGAACGAGCGAGTGGGCTGGGTTGGGCAGAGGGGTTCTTGGACTAGGTTTTGGACCGAGTAATAAACTTGGGGGTAGCCCCAAGCTCTCTCTTGAAGGATATTAGGCTCAGATTTTGTGCTGAATAATGGATTTCATGGGCCAACCCTACCTATGGACACCCCTACAAATGTTAGATTATTACTTTAACACCGTAAATGAATTGAGTTATTCCTAAACAGTACGGATCAATTTAGATAAAAGTAAGTTTAAATTCGTTCACTAATCCAACAAATTGAGCTCAAGTTGAATTTTAAAGCTAATTAAATAAATGACTAAAGTTAGATCAATCACTCAGTTTGGCTCATCAACAAGTTCATGTACATACATGCATAGGGTCATAGGTACAAAATGGAAAAAGAATACAAAAAATAAACAAATTTCTTTGAGTGATTATTAAATAACACTAAGAAAACTTAAGAAAAGGAACGATTTTCATATTATTTTTATGAACTTAGAGAAAACTTATTGTAGAGTTTTTAAAGATATAATATGTTGTGTTTTATAAAAGAAAATAGCTGCAGATAATTATATCGTGATGCAATGATTTAGAGAAAAAAAATATAAGGGAGATTAGTGAATAGCCAATCATTGTAGAATTACATCAAGCTAATATCTTTAGTACATATTTTTTTCCTTGATTATCAATTAATCAAATAGGCTCATAAAATGATGAGGTTCCGTTATGTATATATTATTGTTTTGTGATTGATGAAACTAAATTAAAATTTATTAAAATAGAATTTTGAGGAAAAGTTTTAGAATCAAAGTAATTTAAAGAAGAAAAAGAAGTAGATAAATGAAATATAATATGGTAGAAGGAGAGATTCAAATATTTAGATAGTAAATATAGAAAATTAAGAAATATGAAAGAATGACCTAGGTCATGCAGCATAAGTATCTCAACTTCTAAACCACCTGGTGATACCCAAGTAGCTCGACTATAATCACACCAACTCAGACCTAGCTACTTGAAGAATAAAAAAAGCTCAACATGTCTATTCTACCTTAGACAGCAAGTTATCGCCTCAAGAATGTTACAACCGTGCCTCTAGAAGTCGACGTGTTCTGTGAATATGATTTCCTATAACGACCAAATATCTCTCAATGATTCTAACGGATTTAGGGGACCACATAATCATAGAGAAGATAAAAACTTACTCTTGTATAAATAGAAGGAGATGCCCTACTAAAAAAGGATTGAAATCTTATGGTATTGAACTTTTCTCTTTTTCCTTGAGCAATATATAGAAAAAAGAATTAGAACCTCAATTGAAGTAAATTAGACAAACTTTTCAATTAGTGAACTATTTATGTTCTTGTTTTCTTTACTCTTACTAAACTATTCCAACACGTATCCACATACATTGTACACATAGCACTAAGCTCACCTAGCTCTCTTCATTTATTCTCAATTATTCATACCATCAAAATACATAGCATTAGAGTGATGTAACATCAATTGATGGTAATATTAATCATAATGATAATTTCAAAATTAATTCTAAATAAAATAATTACATAATAACTTGAAATTTAATTGAAAATGTAATTAACGTAGAACAAAATACATAAATATAACCCCCAATATTTTAGCCCAAGATTGTCTGCCTTACACTATAGCGTCTTCTCAAATATGGATAGGTACATAGACATATAGAATCTGTGTCAGGTCAACTGTTGGGCTCAGGCATGTGGGCCCCACCCAAAACCCTTTAAACACTAACAAAACAGGCCCCAAAGCCTGCGCAATCAACACTCTTGGTACAAGAGTCCCACTTACCCAGCCATCATTCCTCCACTCCACATCTCAGTCGTCCATCTTTTTGTAACGGCTACTTCGGATAACCCCCACCCAGAGTGGATTTGTGGACCCCATATTGTATTGGAGCTTGTGGGCCCCACACGTATAGATTTACAAATAAACGAGATGAGATGAATTAGAATTGTACATCAAATAGAATTTATATCACGTTTAAAACGTATTATATTAATATGTATTTAAATTTTTTTATAATTATATATAATTAAATTTATACCCTGTAAAATGTGTACTTCTCATGTTTAAACGACTTTATTTTTTAATTTTTGATTTTTTTTGATCAAATTGTCTTCCTTCGATAAGCTTAAAACTGATTGTACAAAAAAATATATATAGATGTATATTTAGTCAGATTTAAATCTATTTATTAATTTGATGAACATAATGAATCTACTAAATCTAAATTTTTTTATTAATTAAACTAAATCTGTCAAACTAAATCTAAATTTATTAATTTTGTATTAATTTTATAGGGATTCTCTACTGTTTAAAATTGGGATTATCTAAATTAAAGTCATTCAATGAAGAAATAGAATTGTGGCTAAGGGAAAAAAGAGTTAATAATGACCACTAGCAGTAAATCAACTTTTGGGAAATCATTAATTAATAAAATCGAAAAAAATGGAATAACGAAGTCTTAGATGGGGCCCATCTAAGGATCTTTGACAGAGACGTCAGTTCAAATACCCTGCCTCTCTCCTCTGTCCTATTGCACATATCTCTCTCTCTCTCCTACCTTTTCTCATTGAGTAGTTGCAGTTTTGTCTGCTTTTTGCTCTTATTTTTAATCTAAAGGGAGACTTTGTTTTCTTTTGTGTATCCTAGCCCAAGGCAGTGCTAGTCTTCTCTTTCACACTTGGCCATGGGCTGGGATAGGGTTTCACTGCTCATAGCTACACTTCTTGTCGCTTCATTTCCATTTTCTTTTATCAGTTTCTGTCCAAAATCAGCCATTTGAACGGTTAGTTTTCCATCTGGGTCGTCTTTGATTTTACTTTGATCCTTTGAGCACATTCTATTTGTGCTAGAAAATTCTCAGATGAGTTAAAGTATGTGAAAATAAAAGCAGAACCTCTCTGGGTACTTGCTATTTTTGAAATGGTTTTACTGTTTTCTTGTTCTACATAGAAACTGTTTCTCTGTTTTTTAGTTGTGTCTGTATCTAGTTTACTTGGGTTTCGAGGATTTATAATTTATTTTCTGGGGTTTGGAGTAGACAGATGATTCAAGAAGTTCTGAAATTTCTGAGATCACCCATTTGGGTTTGGTGCTTTTGGAAAGTGGGCTTTTAGAGTTTTACTCTTTAAGATCAGTGTTTATGAATCTTCTGCTATTTTTGCTTCTGGGTTTTTCAATTTTAGGGAATTAGGTGTTTTTTTTTTTGTTCGGTTGAGGTGATATGGAGGAGGTTGAAGAAGCTAACAAGGCAGCTGTTGAGAGCTCCCATAGAGTTATTAGACTCTTGTCCCAACCTAAAGATCAGGTTCAGTGCAGAAAATTAATGGCAGAAGCAGGGGAGGCTGTGTTCAAGTTCAAGAAAGTTGTGTCTCTCCTAAATGAAGGTCATGGTCATGGAAGAGTAAGAAGACTGAAGATGTTCAGATCATCTTTGCCCCAACATATCTTCCTTGAAAGCCCGACTTATAAAACCAGTTGTTCTCCTAAGCCTCTCCAATTACTCCCAACGAATTTCTCTGAGAACCAAGTTTCAGAGATTGAACCAAAATCTAATACTTCTGTGCAGTTGACCCAGAAAATGTTTCTGGAAAACCCCTCATTAGGTATCGGTTCATCGGTGAAGCATCCCTTGCAAATTGTTCAACAAAAGCAATCACAACATCTCCATCAGTTACTTCAACAGCAGTATCTTCATCAGCAGCATGTTCAAAAATTGCAGCTTCAGCAGCAACAGATGAAGCATCAGACTGAGATGATGTATTCTAGGAGTAACAACAATAGTGGCATAAACCTAAAGTTTGATGGCTCTAGTTGTACACCCACCATGTCATCCACTAGATCATTCATATCATCTCTGAGTATGGATGGTAGTGTACCAAATTTAGATGGAAATTCCTTCCATTTGATTGGTGTGCCTCAATCAGCTGATCAGAATTCACAACACAGGAAAAGATGCAGTGGCAGAGGAGAAGATGGTAGTGTGAAATGTGGTACTATTGGTAAATGTCATTGCTCAAAGAGGAGGTGAGATTTGATCCCCTATTTGGTACTCAATTTGTTTTTTTTTTTTTTTTGCAATAATATTTTGATTATCTGTTTGGTCTCATTTTTTATTGGCTTTTAATTGTTGATGTTGATGCTTTTGCAGGAAACTGAAGGTGAAGAGAACTATTAAGGTGCCTGCCATTAGTAACAAGGTAGCAGATATTCCTCCTGATGAGTACTCATGGAGGAAGTATGGGCAGAAGCCAATTAAGGGATCACCACATCCTAGGTATATCTCCTTTATGTTTTTAATTCCTTAATCATACTTCAGTATTACTATATTTGTTTGATCTTTGTGTTCAATTCGTCTGTTTTTTTGTGATTAAGCAATAGTTTGAGATACTAATCAAATTCACTGTTTCACTACGATCATTCATAGATTGTTTCAATTGTTAATTGCGTCTTCTGCAATGGGTGTAAGTTCTCAATTACGATATATCAGTATTTTCTGATTCTAGGTGTTTGTTGATTTGCCCATATGGTTGTTAGTTTCAGTAGTTCTTGTGTCTGTTTGATCAATGTGGTTGGCCAGTTAGTTACATAAATTGGTGACCGAGTTTGTAGATACTCCCTTGGAAGTCTTATTGGGTATCATTTACCAGCTGAACCTGAACTCAGATCAACTTGCCGTCCATGGTTTTTGAAAGGGTCTATACTTGAGTAGATCTCAAGTTACCAATTTTTGAACAAGATCCAAGGTTTTGAATTTTACCGATTGCTGTGATTGGTGGACAGTGGACACTGATGAATTACCAACCTTATTGTGGTCAATTGGGTATCATTTACCAGCTGAACCTGAACTCAGATCAACTTGCCGTCCATTGTTTTTGAAAGGGTCTATACTTGAGTAGATCTCAAGTTACCAATTTTTGAACAAGATCCAAGGTTTTGAATTTTACCGATTGCTGTGATTGGTGGACAGTGGACACTGATGAATTACCAACCCTATAGTGGTCAATTTGAAATCCTTTTGAGACTTCAAAACAGCGTATCATTTATGTGGAAAATTATCCACACCTACCTTGGACATTGCATTGGCTTTTTGAAAAAAGTTCTCTGTTTTTTATCTTCTCTACTATGGTCTCTCTCTCTCTCTCTCTCTCTCTCTCTCTCTCTCTACACACACACACACGCTCGCGCACAAATGCACTTACACTATTTTTGGGACAAATCAATATGATTGTGGTGTCTTGTGCAGGGGATACTATAAATGTAGCAGCATGAGAGGTTGCCCTGCAAGGAAGCACGTTGAGAGATGCGTGGAAGACCCTTCGATGCTTACTGTTACTTATGAATGTGAGCATAACCACTCCAGGTTACAGTCATCGCAGTCGGCCCATACCTAAGAACTTCATGAGCAAATCTATTTTATGTGTGCCTTGTGGAATCCAAGTCGCATACAATCAAATTTGGTTCATTTTTAGTTGGGAATTGCTCCTGTATATAGTATGTGGTCTAATCCTATGACCTATGGTAGAACAGACATATGGTTAGGTGGGTAGTGTTTTCAAGGTAATTCAGCATTTCAGGTGGGGTGGCTTTGAGCCACAGTTAAATGCAAGGTTTTATAAAAGAAGGAGCTGAAAATTGGAAAGTGAAAACTTCTTGAATGCTAAGCTGTCCTCTTTTTTGTTATTATTTTCAGTGTTTTGTTTATCCTTATGGGTTGTTCTATCATTGCATCAGCATTCATGTAAGATTTATATATCAACTTTATTACGAGGTTTATCATAAGATCCCTATTCACATAGTGCATACAAAGGAATACGTGCAAATTTTTAGAACATACTTTAACAAACATCATATTGCAGCCACAACAGTCTAAGAACACCAACAAGTCCAAGTCTAAATACCACCTCGAATAGAGCCTAACACAATCAACCTAAAACTCCTATCACAACTAATATGAAAATTAAGTTACAGGCATTGGATATGGAGTGAGAATATAAACTCGATACAGATTGTGTAACCTAACATAGCAAAACTGTTTCATGGGTAGTTGGAACCTTTGTTTTTTTTGGACTTTATTTTCAATGTCATAGAAGTATAATTAAAATTTTATTTTCAATGTCATTATATTTTATTCTAGAATCATAGGGGTAGTAATTCAGAACACATGAACTGACCTTAGGATAGGATAGCCTGGTTTGTTTTTTTCTTTGAGGTAGTATCGACTCGTGAACCGGCATCAATCAATCCTATTGATCTCTTTATTGTTTCCAGTTTACCACACCGAAGCAAAATAGAAGGTGATAACAAACTATCAACAGATGGATAAGGCTATAATACCAAGTTTCTTAGTACCATACCAGAAAAATTACTTGTGGACATTAAATTTCGATAGATTTATTAGCCATTCATAATGAAAATAATGAAGTAAAGTGAGAGGGATAATATGTCTTTTTTTTTTTAATCAGATACTATTAAAAGGGAGCAAGACGATGGACGGAGTTTGAATTCATGACCTTAACATCTATCAGTAAGGGCAATAATTATTAGGCCAACCATATAATTATTTAATCTGAAAATCTTGTCGGAGATTCAAATTTGAGATCTAAAAATAGTAATTCAGGGGGTAATTTTATTCGTACTATCCTCACAGATTTTAAATTTTTTTTTTTTTAACAAAAGGGGTTTTAGAAAAGACTACTATCTTTTCCTATAGCCAATTTAGAATCCACTCTTTGTGTATTTTGTTAATCACTATAAATTAAATTTGAATTAAAATTTGCTTTTTTTTTTTATTTTGGTTCAACGGTCAGAAGTGTCCAAACGACTCACGTGTACCTTGACTAATCTCCTCTTCGATCCAGTCAAAAGTAGGCTATACATGCCTTTGTTCACTTTGATTCAATCGTGGCCTTCATATTTGACTGTAAACACCCCCACCCCCCAAACACACACACACACCGCTCTCTCTATCTCTGTTTTATATATGTAGACACACACACTTGTGTGGATTATTCGCTAAAGAATCGAACTTTTGAACTTGAAAAAGGGACCGAGGGAGAAGAAGAAAGTAAAAAGAACAAAAACACCATGGACCAGCTTTGTTCTCAATCATGATAAGTAATATATTCCTAATACTCAATTTGCTGCCAGAATGTGCTTCTAATTTCTAGTGCTTCCCATCCATTTGCTTAAGTTGGATGGGATTAGTGGCTTATAAATTGATGATGCACAAAATTGGTTTGTATACCACTTGTCAATTAAGTAATATAAAATGAAGTAAAATAGAGAGAGAAAACCAAGTTTATAGTGGTTCGATTAAGGTGACCTATGTCTACTTGGAATGACAAGGGTTGCCGAGATTTTATTGATTTTGGTGCAGTGGGAGAGCATAAGATTACAAGCTTTAAGAGAGTTAGAGAGAGTTATGCTCAAAATGAGTGAGATACCCCCAAGTGTTAGTAGGGCTTATAATTTATAGTAGTTTAGTGTAGTAATTGAATAGCTAGTCGACGGTCATAATGGGTTGGGACCGTTTAATAGTCATAACTAATTGAGGTGACTTTAATAGTAATTAAATAGTTTGGCGACCTCTCATCTCCTCTCCTCTCCTCTCCTCAACCGGCAAGGATGTTATAGTTCTCTCCAAAGGACTTGATCAAAGGATGAGAGAATGTTAACTCTCTCCAAACTGCAAGGGAGAGACTCCTGGAATGACTCTTATTTCAAGGTGACGAGGAGGAGACTCTTGGATAACTCTTACTCCAAGGTGGTAGAGGAGGCTCTTGGATGACCCTTACTCCACGGTGGTAGAGGAGGCTCTTGTATGACCTTGCATATTCCCTGTTGATGTAGCTACTTGATTTTTGATGAGCTTGTCCGGGTTGATCACATTGAACTGGACTTGCTAGATCTCTTGGAGATGAACTATAAACTCAGATCAAGCTTATAATTTGAGCTAGGCCCTTGGGCTTGGCCCATCATTTGTCCCTCAATGCCCTGTGTCCAATGGAACTTTGGAAAGGAGGGCATTCGTTTTAAGTTTGAATTTTTGACTGATTGGCACAACTAGAAAAAATTTTAGGAAGCAAAAACATCCTTTTCTAGGCCTTTTTTGGACTTTTAGCATCATCAGTGACAGCCAAAGGTTGTGTGTCTTGTAGAGCTCGTCGAGAGCTTCGATTTGATATATAATTAGTCTTATTTTGAGTAACGGAGCAAAAGTTACGGTCAAAATAGTGAGCAGGGAGCTGAGCGTACGATTTGGGCGAGCGGGCAACCTTTGGGTTAGCAGGCACTGTTTTGGGCGAGCAGCAACTAAATTTTATTTTATTTTATTATTTTTAAAAAAAATTTGGGAGGACAAAACAAGTATTTCTGAGCCTTTTTTGACATTTTATAGTGTCTATCATTGTCATAGGCAATGGGTTTTGTAGGGCTCGCCGAGAGTTTCGATTTGATATATTATGGGTCCCATTTTGAGTAACAGATCGAAAGTTACGATTAAAATAGCGAGCAAGGAGCTAGGCACGTGGTTTTAGGCGAGCAGATAGTTTCTGAGCAAGCAGACAGCCTCCTGGGTGTGCTGGCAGCGTCTTGGGTGAGCAGATAAAATTTTTTTTTTGAAAAAATTTTGGGAGGCCAAAACAGCTATTTTTGAGCTTTTTTTGGACTTTTTGCTATGTTTATGTTTGCCATAGGAAGTGAGTTTTGTAGGGTCCGCCGAGAGTTTCGATTTGATATATAATAAGCTTTGTTTGGAGTTACAGATCAAAAGTTGTGGTCAAAATTGCGTACAACCCTTTTTAAATCCAAATTTTTTGAAAACTCCCCTTGATTGACGACCCTCTCTCTTCCAATAGACTCCTTTTACTTGTGTGACTCCATTGATTATATAAAACTCTCTCATTCATTTCCTTATATATTTTAGCTCTGTAGAATGTCTCCATGGTGATGGAGTAATTGGTGCTGAGGTAGGCAGTGTTGATTTGGGCTAGTAGGTGTTGAGGGGCGCTGATCTAGGCGCACTATCCGCACAATGGAGAATACCAGTGAGCAGGGGGATGACTTGGGCTCCAATTCACGTAGTCTAGGCGAGTAGCCTGCTCGCGTAAGATGGGAGGTCCTACATGAAGATGGGTGAGCAGCCCAAAGAGACGCAATACTGGGTGGTTTGGGTGGTACTGTCTGCGCGGGCGAGCAAATTGGGAGTGGCTTGAGCGACTACGCTACTCATGCCTAGGGGTTGGGTGAGCTAAGGGAGGAGACCAGGGAGGCAGCGTGCGCTGGGCAGGGGCTAGGCGAGCTTGTTATGCTTGAGGCCCTGGGCACCGCTACTGTGTGCAAGGCACCATTGGAGCTAGGCAGGATGCGGCTGGGCACTAAGGACCTATTGGGGCGTCATTGGTCAGGCAACCCAAGTATTAGGTGCTGATGGAGTGGCACCTATGGTGTTGTGCCCTACTGGAGAGTTGGCCATGTCGCTGGGCACTACTGGATGGTGAGGCGAGTCAAGCTTGGCTGCAGGGGCTCGCGATGGAGGAGTGCTGTTTGGGGACAAGCACAGGTAGGGGAGCAGGTGCCAGATTCTTAGTGTTGGAAGCTTAGGCAAGCTTTGTTTGCGCTAGGTGTTTAAGCGCGGGGGTATTACGGCAATGCGACAGCAGTGCCACATGCACACAAAAGGATGAGGCCCGATTGTTGACATTCAATTTAATATAGTCCTTTGGGTTGCAAACGACCTGAGTTTCAAGTGTCTACCTAGAGATGACAAAAACAATGTTATTCCAAACATTAAAATATCTAACATAATTACCTGAAGAGAGAGATAGGCTGCTTGCACGAGAACAAAGACAGTGTTTGAGGATTACTTGTGAGAGAGCTACACCTTTTGAGATCGAGCTTTTGGCGACCCATGAGAGAGTCCTTAAGTTTGAGGTATAGGCTGCCTACTTGAGAGTAGTGTAAAGGCCAAGCTTTTGGCGATCCGTAAGGGAGTCGCTCAGCTGGAGATATAGGCTACCTACTTGAGAGTAGTGCCGAGGCTAAGCTTTTGGTGACCCGCAAGAGAGTCGCTCAACTAGAGATATAGGCTACCTGCTTGAGAGCAGTACAGAGGCCAAATTTTTTGTGACCCGTGAAAGAGCCGCTCAGTTGGAGATATAGGCTGCCTGTTTGAAAACAGCACAAAGGCCAAGATTTTGGCGACCCGCTAGAGAGCCACTAAGCTGGAGATATAGGCTGCCTGTTTGAGAACAGTGTAGAGGCTAAGCTTTTGGTGGTCGCTTCATTACTGAAAAAAGGAAGCTTGACTAGCGAAGACCTCCCAAGAAGGTGGGTCATAGTTACTTTGTCATCGGACTCCTCAACTTGGAGGACCTCTTCGTTAAAATGAGTGAGATAGCTCCTTAGGCCCTCATTTCGATTCTGCTTTTATTCTAAGTAGATGGGTGATAGGCTTCTGGTGGTGACGTCCTCCGATAAAGTGCGACACGAAAGACCTACTCAGCTCAGCAAAGGAGATAATGGAAGCTGGGGAGAGCTTGACGAACCATTGTCAGGAAAATCCCTTCAAGATAGTTGGGAACGCCCTGTACATGATCCCGTCGAGGACATTGTGCTACTGCATTAGAGTTTTGTAACTTTCGAGGTGGTCTAGTGGATCTTTCGTACCATCAAAGGTCTCCATAGATGACATTTTAAACTTTTGAGGGAGGGGGTAGTTCGTCACGTCAG